GTTTTGCCTTTTTTTTTATAGTTCTAGCCTAGGCACTCACAGCTAAATTTGCCTCATATGGTCGCTCTGCCACAAAGCTAAAAATTTTGGAGAAAATAAATTAGTCTTAAGCTCTGTCCATCAGCATGACAACTAAAGACCATGAGTTCCTTTTTCTCAGGGGGAAGAAATTGGCACCTACCCATCAATTAACTGGTTTTCTTTTTTTTTTTTTTTTTTTTTTTTTTTTTTCTTTTTTTTTTTTTTTTTTTTTTTTTTTTTTTTTTTTTTTTTTTTTTTTATCTCTGAGCCCCAGCAACTTGTGTGTGTGGTCAAAGATCAATTTAATTGTATAAGCATTGCATATTTAGTCCTTAGCACTAATTGGCTGTAGATGAAAAGCTGATCAGTCTGGTTGGTTTGAATGTGGCTTGCAGTTAGGGGTATGATTTTACTGTGCCTGTGCTGTTCAGTTTATGCTGTATGATGCTCTGCTTTGGCTTATTTTTAACCCTGGCAGCTTCTAGTAAGTAAGTGTCAAATAAGCAGCTTCTAATAAGCTGCTTAGAAGCCGTTTCTAATAAGTGTCTTTGCTTTGGGTTTCCCATCCCTAAAGAATTACACACTAGTCTCCTCTTTCTCATTTTCTTCAAGGGTCTTAAGCCGGCCATATGTGTAACTGTAGCTTGCCATTCTGGAGTTAGTAGTAAATCAAGGTATTAATGATCTTAGATTTGTTTTTCCTTTTGTTTTTTTTTGTCTGAAAATAGAACTCAAAACATTTTGTCATCTCAGATTCTCTGCGAATGCAGCCTATTCTCTTGTAGCAAATCATTTTAAACTGTTACTTTATGCAGTGCTTTTCTTCTACCATCTTTCAGCCATCACTTTAAAAGTGCTTCTGAAGGGTAACAGAGGTAACTGGCATTTCTCCCCCCACCCTGTCAAATGCAAATCTCACAGCTCCCAAGTGTGAATGTACAAAGGTCTCTTACTGTGGGGTCTTTGTGTGTGTTTTGGGTGTTTTTTTTTTTTGTTGTTGTTTTGTTTTTTGTTTTTGTTTTTGTTTTTTAAATTAAAAAATTAGGCCACAGATAGCTGAACAGAGTGACCTGATTCATGCTGGATCAACATGTTACCAACTTGAGGTTGTCACTACAAAGTAAATGTGGTGAAGTCTGCCTGTTCCAACTAAAATCAAAGCAGCCTCCTGACATACAGCAGTGCTGAAGTCAGCAGTTTCTGCAAAGTGGGTCTAAATGCAGATTGAAGGATCTCTTCTGTGTATATATGTAACTATCTGCCAACCTACTTACTTATAATCAAATACTTTTTGTCATATTTTTACTCAGGAGGACATGAGAGAAAACAGTTCTAAGTGATTTCTTTTTTTTTTTTCTCTTATTTTTTTGATTTGGCTTTGTGAGGTATATGTAATGTTTTCTCTAAAGTAGGCCACCTGAGAGATCCCATGGAGTAATTCACTTTGCTGAGTTAGCAGATGAGGCCATTGGGCAGAGTCAAAAAACATACTGCCAACTGTGAAGCAAATGAATCAATACTAGTGCAACTGGATCAGTTTGCTTCCTCCTATATGAGAAAAGCAGTAGCACAGATGCAATTTCCGACATACAGATTTAAAAAACAAATATAGACACGCACACACACACACACACATTGGGTTGGCTTTTATTGGAAAGCCTAGATGCAATCTATAGTTATCAATTTGTGGAAAATTCAGGACACTATAAAGTTAAGAAGGCAAATTAAAAGAACAATACAAATCAGACGAAATATACATCTCAAAATATCAGGACAGCATTTTGACTGGCATTGCCTAAAATACTTAGAATCTCCTTTTTTTTTTTTTTGTTTTGTAATATGGTTCTTTTAATTATGCATATTTTTTTCTTTAAAAAGATCTTTTGTTTATATATTCCCCAAGGTCACTATTTCCTGCAGGAGCATGTCCAGATCACAAGTCTTTTTTAGCAAGAAATAGGCTCATTATACCGACTAACAAGGCCACTAATTGGCTTGATTTGACTTTATCTAGAATGATCGCCAGCAGATACTATAATTTGTTGTTTATTGGTGCCAGAACAAAGGAGAAGGAACTGGTACGCGTCAAGTAGTATATTTCATTGTTGACATGTTATACAAGCTTTTCATATTCAAACAGAACAGAAACATTTGACATAATTTAGAATATGAGCCTATTTCAACAGAGAGCACTTACAGCATGCTAAATACAGTGCTGTGGAAGAGCCACCCAACAGAACTGCAAACACCTAGCATTTTACATCTTTAAAAAGAATACGTAGATCAATGACACGCCTCTGGGGTCTGACATATCATCCTCTCTAAATTTAGGGCCCTTAAGACTTCAAGGGTAAAAATACTAACAACTAATATCTGTGCTTTCATTCTAATAGATGATTAGCATTCATTATATGTGTAATTAGTTCTGTATGTTCTACCAAATACACACATACAGTAATAGCACTGATACTGTAGATTCGGTAGCAACTTGGCAGGGAGAAATTCAAATCTGTTTATCAAACAATCCTAATGTGCAATTTAGAGTATGTAATACCATAGACTCTCAGAATACAAAGCAGTTAGAAAACTATTTTTATTACATCCACTTGAACCATTCATAGTTAAGACACGGTCACTTACTATGTTTTGTCATTATAATACATGGATAGAAATACTGTGTATATTTCAGTGAACATCAAAAACCCCAATTTTGTCTCATCTTAAAAATATTTATTTTTGTGGCTGAATTTAGTGCTCATGAGAGTAAAGCTCTAAGGATATTTTCAGCCAAGATCTAGAACAGATGCCATAGATGCCACCACAGGCTTCCTATAAGGAACCAGCTGCACACTTCAGTTCTGTCCTGCAGCAAATATACTGGGCCTTGGAGCAGAGCATGCCGAATCTATGCAGTGGTGTGGAGATGCAGACTAGGCACTAGAATTGGAGCTTCCTCTCCATCCCAGGTTCAGTGATCACAGTAATGGGATTTGATCTGCCACCTGAAGGCCAGGAGATGAACCTACTGAACAGCCTGCCTGCCTAAAGAGCAATGCTGTAGCATCAGCTCAGAGGTACACTTCTTCTATCTGGAGTTATTAACATCTAAAAGAGCTGTATTATACAGAAGACAAAGTTGACATAACTGGATGAAACTACATCATTTCTTCTTCTTCTTCTACATACAATTTGCCAAGCACCTGAGACACTATTCTCTCTGTTGTGAAACAAAGCTTCTAAAAAACAACAGAAACCCCACCTGGTATGAATAAATGTCCATTTATTACATTAGGGCTGGAAAAAGACAAGGAAAACCCAACCTATTAAAGTCTTCCATCTTAATAAATGAGACTTATTTGGTTACTGTGCCTTCTAACAATGACTGATGAAGTGGCACTGGCCTGGGTGACAGGAGAGGTTCGGGAGAGGAGGGAGCTGTGGTCTGATTCAGCCAGCCACTTTGGAGTGTCCCATCCCATCAGCAGAGTGATAGATGCACAGCTTTAAACCTAATACAAAAATATTAACACTTTTGGACATTAGTCATCACTGTTATATCTCTACAATATAATCCTTTATACTGTACAGCTATAACATAAAAGGTGCAATTCCTTTTTCTTTAAAAAAATCACACACAGCACATGTTTTTATCATTTTATTTTTAAGTATAAACTTTTTTAAACACTTTACATAAATTAACTCCTCTGAGACTAATATTTGATGTACAGTAAATTGTAATTCATATAAAAATCCATAAACAACTCGTCTCACATAATTTACAAAAAAATCAGGGTTTCCTTTGCTTATCTGCAACAAGGATTCTACTTGCCATTTTCCCCCCAAGGCAAACCATGTTAGCGTTGTAAAATCCATTATTAAATTCCCATGGTAGCATAAGTCACTTGTGCCAATGTCCTTTTAGAAAGCAGCACAGTTTAAAGCAGTTGGGTTGTCTATAAACAGTAATTTTTGCCCCACGTTTTAAAATTAACAGATACATACCACATCCTATGCAGTGAGAAAGAGAGAAAAAGAGAGAGAGAAAGAGAGAGACTACTTCTGGTAAGCAAAGGTCAACAATTCAGTAATATTTAGAAACACTGTATGGGTCTGTATCTTAAGTAAATACAGTGCCTCAAAGGAACAGACAGCCTGTTGCAAAATCTGTAGGCCTTTTTCTTTTCTTTTTTCTTCTTTAATACTTTTCAGTCCAACTTGAGTGCAGCGATATGCATATGTAAACATATTCTTTAAAGCAGATCACCTTTAAGGTCATTGAGAAAAACAAAAAAGTTTTGTCATTAGCAGTATCATTCTTCTGGAAGGCGCTCTTTTCGTTACAGAGTCTGTTCGGATTGTGCTACAGAAAAAATCTGAGCAAAGATGTCAGCTTAGGCTCAAGTAGTAATGCAGCAAAACAGTTTGGTCTCCTTTTTAGAAGACACTGGTACACAGTCTCTTTGGCAGCCTGAGCTAAGCCAGTGTGTTACCTCTTTCCTATCTCACTTTGTCTGAGGAACTGTATATTGTTAGCGCTGTCTGCTAATTCTGGATATTGCTCCACAGAGAGTACATAGTACCCATCATATCCTTGTACCTTTCCAGCGCTAAGTAACTGCCTCTTTTCTCCTTCTGTCCACAACCTGGCGCCTTCTTCTCCATCTCTTACTCTCTGTTGTTCTCTGGCCCAGGCACTGGAAAGAGCTCTTTGCCTGGCTTGCTCCAGTATTCGGGCCTTTTCCTCATCAAGTGTCATGCCATAGCGGACGTGAAGCGCTAGAGCACCATACTGCATCTCAACATCAGCAAACCTACGAGTCCTGCCGTTTACCACAGTGGTGGACTGGGACACAGTGACGTTGATGCCATTCTCCAGGGCCTTCCGCCCACTTGTCAGCCTCAGTGTCCCAAGGTCACTCTCAGGGGAGGTGGTCTTGATAAAATAGTGCGTGTCCTTTCCCTCAATGGTGAAATGCAAGTTTTCTAGGTAGTAGGCGTTGTTCAAAACAGCTGCCACTTTTATGCAGTCCTCATTTGCAATGTTGAGCACGTTTGTTTGCACTTTGCCTTGATTGACAGCGAGCATCACCCCTTTCCCAATGAGAGACTTCACCGTAGCAAACCACAGCCATGACTTCTCTCCACTGGATTTCCGTCTGCTGACCTGCACTTCTGCCATCTTTCCCAGGGAAAGGAAGGCCTTTGCTTGTCTCGCCACTTGTTGTTGCACTCCAGAAATTGGCTGTAAACAAGAACAGACAGAAGTTTTACAAGCCATCTGTAGCCCTCTGACGCCAGCCAGGCTTTCTTGGTGTGCTGCCCGTGGACGACAACAGGATATGCCACAACTGACAGTGCCAGGGAGTTAATTAAATCTACATACTGCTCGTTCTGCTGAGTTACATGACTATTTTGTTTGATAATGCTCAGTGCTTTTTCTCTTTGTCTCCCCAAGAACCCGCACAAAATTAAGATTTAACTTCAGAGGCTACTTCCTGGGCTGCGTATAATACTTACTATGGGTATGAGCTATCTTACTACAATACAGTGTCATCTCATCCTTTGAGCTTGTTCGACTATGATTCCTGTCTGCCATGAGTCCATCCAAATTGAGGAGATTTTTGCAGGTCACAAAGCTGCACTTTACAATAGGAACAGAACTTTCTTTATGCTGAGTCAGGAGATAAGAGTCTCTCGGGTAGCTGCAGTCTGAGACCAAACTGCAGGGAGGCTCTCATAACCCCTTAAGCTACAACAGGACGGAGGGGAATCAAACTGTAATGATAATCTCTACAGTAAAAGCAAACAGTACACAGCAGTGAGGCAGAATACTGGGGACTGATGCCCTTTCTTGCAAATGCAGAAACTGGTAAAAGGGGATTTGTGAAAGAGCTGAACTGTGGCCAATTCAGTTTTGTGAACTTCCACTTCACTCCAAGTATCAGCATGCTGCCTGAAAGAGATGAGCAGCTTTTCCCCCCAGAACTTCAGATGGGTGCAGTCCTGAATACAGCAGAATGCTTTGTTGACAAGTAGCAAAGACAAGGGGCAACAAATGAAAAGAACCAATGGGCAAGTCTAAAATATGTTTGCTTGGTATTTCATGTTTTACTGTGTCTGGGGTATTCCTGTTGAAAAGGTAGGTGTCCTATAAAGGGGAGGAAATAAGAGGTGCAATTGTGAGGTGCAAAAGCACAAGATGGAAAAGCTAGGATAGGAGAATCTGTTAAAGAAGTTTATTTTGACTGTTAAGAGCTGTATGTAGCCCTGTCTGCCAGATGCAGTCTTGGTAAAGAGAAAGAATAGCTGGGGAATGGGACCTGCCAGCATAACTGGTGTGCTTAGCCAGAACAGCTAGAAGAGCAGGAGCAGCTAGCAGGGATGGTCAGCTAGCATGGCTAGATCACAGGGCAGCTCACATTACGGGGTCAGCTGTAGTTGGGATGAGGCCTTACAACTGCACAGAATAGGCACATCTTATCTGTCTAACCCTGGGTCTTAACAGCTACAAGCTGTCAATGAGCTAGTATTGATGGAGGTGGGGAGCAGACAGCTGCCCTAGCAGTTGTCTCAGCAGGAAACAGAAAGATTTAAATAGCTTTGGCTGCACTTTTGAAAAGGAGTACTTAGTTTCTGTAGATGATACAGTTTATCTTCCAATTGACCCCTTCTCCCTTCAGGAAAATACTGTTTAACCCATTTGATTCACTGCTGGCAAATGAGACAAAAGCCTGTTTAGTTTTCCCAAATTTCTGGGTGGGAGTCCAAGCAGGAATCCTTAACAGACTCCTACAACCTTAATTCAGCCTTGCTGCTAATGAGAGCCTGGCAAAAGGTTTGCAAAGGCTTCTTTGCTCTGCCATGAGGGCAGCTTTCTGGAAGGGACAGATCCTGATGGAATTACAAATTGACTTGGACTCTCAACTCTTCCTGAATCTGGCAGATTCCTGTCTGCATTACTAACAAGTATGGATTTCAGCTGTTGTAAATCCTACATGAAAGCTATTGAGCACAAAATACATTCTAGACAGCATGCTCTTCAGTGAGAGCAGTGAGATGCTATAGCAACTTCATAATGACAAAGTTTGTTTGTCTGTAGCATGTATCCTCAGAGTTCTGGAGCAAAATCTCAGAGCTCGGTACTGCTCACTCACTCCAGAACGTTTCAAAATACTAAGTGGTTTGCATGATTACTTCTGACTCCTGGTTGCACTTGCTTCTTCAACAGTGAGTATCATAGTCACAGCTTTTTCCTACCTGAGAATTTTGGATCTTTGTTTTGCTCCCACTTCTCCTTCTCTGTCATGTCACAAGCGCCTGAGCACTCCTCATGTTTTGAACTCTTTTCTGAAGATTTTTGACAACTAGCTGTCTGCTGTATCTCTTTGACTAGACTGGTTCTCTCCCTGATGCACCTCTTTCCTGCTGTTGTTAATGGATAACTGCCTTTGAGATCTAAATAAACAACCTCTGATTGTTCTTCACAGCCACACCTGATGACAGGTCTCTTGTCTCCTGATACAACCACCTTGCCTGGAGTACTTGTAATGCTCCTCCTTCATTGCTTCTACCACTCATGGGAGACACTATTCACATGCTGTGCTCTGAGGTCTTTCCCTGTTACTCAAGTCTGATACTCAAACCCACTTACTCAACCCTGGCTATTAAAATACATATATATATATAGCATGTCACTGCACAGGATTACCCATTTTACTACATCTTAACACCTTCTTCTTAACTGAGAACTGTAGGAGTTTTGAGGGCATAGATCTTTGATCTTTGAGTGAGTTTGATTTGTAAATATAACTTTCTTAAATAACAGATTTAGATTTTCCATATATATTTCTTACATCATTTAAAACTGTAGCAACTTTTCAGGACTGAAGTTCATTTTTTTCCTCCCAAAGAACTTCATAAGCACCACGAGTTTTGGTTTTATGTAATGTAATGGGTTTTACCTCAGGTAATTTCATTTTCAATATTTTATCTTTACATATAAAACATGGTTAATATTAAAGAGAAGTAAAATTGTAGTGGTGCCTGTATGTATAATTTATATCACCTGTTCTTCTGTTTATTTCCCAGTCTATTTTTTACTACAGTGTTCAGTTTCTGCCTTCAGGCAGAGTGCTAGTACAAATCAAATCTCTCTAGTTTCTGCTACGAAACTTTAAAGGGTCTTAAACTTCCTTCCATTGATTATTTTCTTTGTGCATTTTTATTATTGCTGAAAGCAAACAAAATCTTATTTGAAATAGTACCTAACTTAGCAAATCTGTAAGAAAAAACACCATCTCTAATTCTTACGAAAAGTAAATAAAAATTAGAGGTGTCTGAAAAGCACTGTTCAGATTTAACTTAGCAAGTAGCACTGTCAGGATTATCCATGCCTAGTTAAGATCTGAACAGAATGGCACATTCTGTCTTGTTCCATTTATATGTTTAGTTTTGTTTCTTACTGGTATGTCTTCCCATTGCTGGCTCTTCACAAGTTCATAAGAAGGTTCAGTTAGATCAAATTTCGGAACGGGGAAACCAGGAATGGCATTGTGCAGATGGAAACCGAATGTCACCAGCCAGCTGTTAACATCTGAAAGAGAATTATTAAACAAGAGAGAAAAATACTATAATTGTTCTTTATTTTGCAATCATGCCATTTTTACATGGAATAGCTTTTGGCATAGTTGATTTCCTTCTGTAACATGAAAGTTATTCAACAGTCTTCATTTTGATAGGTATGGATTCAGATTTGTAGAATAGCAAGCCTATAAAGAAAACCTGAAGAAAACTTCTGTTCTATGTAAGAGTTGCACTATGCTTGTTTGGAAGGTATTGCAGGCTTCAGTGATTCTGAAGGCCTCAGGGACTTTCAGAACAACTATAGGAGCACAATTAAGGTGAGATTTCCTTCTAATATAGCCTAAACTAATTGAGGTTTCATGGTCAGGCTGAACATGCTTTATGTTGCATCTTCACCATCAATAGTTTAAAGCAAAGCAAAAAAGTACTGCAGGCACATCCTGTCCTTTTCTTACATATGTGTTACTCTAATGTCTTCAAACTACCCCTGAAACAACACCTATGGTCAATTACCTTTTAAATGATTTGGTAGGTATTTTGTGTTGATTCAAGAGAAACCTCTCCCTCTTCAAGATAAAGTTGGACCGATGAAATTAAAAGCCAATGAAATTTATTACAGTTGCATCAGTAAGCAGACAGGATACTAAATTAGCATTAGATAACATTATTTATGATACCTTTTATGTTCTGTTAAAAATAAATAGATGAGGGATGCCAAAAATTAATTAGTTAACAATTGTTGGACAAAAATAGGTGCTCTGCCTTGTTTCTGTCTTTCTACCCTGTCCAAATACAAAGCTTAGCAGAAGTTGCCAGAGTGCTCCTTACCAAGTCTAGTAGTTTTCATGAAAGAAAACCCCAAATAAGGGGAACAAGGAACCACATTTTTTCAAATGTTACAGGAATAAAAAATACCTACATTAAAATTATGGTAACCTTTCCAGATAAATTATATGCCTTATGAGGCTCTACATCTAAAACTGCCAGCCAGCCAAATTACTAATTGTAATGACAACCTTATATGACCAGTATGTGTCTATTCATTCCATACATCAAAGATGTTAAGAAAAGAACTAAAACTGTATTTTGAGGGCAATTTTTGAACTAAGTGCATAATTTTCAATGCCACAAAGAATCTGATTGTAACTGCATCCCCTAAGCACATGCTGCTGAAAGAGGACAGATCCAACGGTCTGTTATTATCTTGCTCCCAGGCAGCCCGTTAGCAACCCTGTTAATAGCTGCTGTTTGTTAAATTAATGCAAACCCATTTGATTCCCAGGATGCTTTTCTGAGTGGTAGTCTCATAAGTAAGTGGTGTTGAGCCCCTCCTGTAGACTGGCACTGCCTATATGAAATATTTAGGATTATTTATATGTATTCAAATATAAAAATTCAAATGCAAGTCATGCATTTTTCAGAAAATTTTGGTGATGTACAGTCAGTTTTTTTGTATGTAGAATAATGGAACTCTAGACCCACAGAAAGCATATAGGTTCCCTAAGAACTCAGTTATACAAGAAATGGCATGTTAGCAGCTTTTTGTTGCTAACATTTGCATTTCACAAAGAAATTCACATTCTTTTTTCTATATGCTCTGCCTCCTTTCCTGCCCCTGGCTGTGTACTCATTACTTTGTGCTGGCCCTGAAGCTTATTGGACTTCTCTTTCTTAGCCAATTTACATTAGTAGCCTTGAAAAAACCTACCCTGGTAGATATTAATCAACTGCCAGTGAGTGTATTCTGCCTTGTTAATGAGTTAAACTGGTCACAGAAAGACCCCCTCACACTCTCACTCCCTCTTGTTGGATCTTTTTTGTCCATGAATATGCACTTTTTACTGCTCAGCAGCCCAAGCTATGAAGAAGCCTGACTCTAATCCTCATGTAAGGAGATTCTCATGAACAGTCTTGAGCAGTTCTTTCTCTTGTACTTGCTCAAGGAGTTCCTCCCCCCACCCCCCCCACCC